CCAGGTCTAAAACCAGGACTAAACCAGGACTAAACCAGGTCTAAACCAGGTCTAAACTAGATCTGAACCAGGACTTAAACCAGGTCTAAACTAGATCTGAACCAGGACTTAAACCAGGTCTAAAACCAGGTCTAAAACCAGGTCTAAAACCAGGACTAAACCAGGTCTAAACTAGATCTGAACCAGGACTTAAACCAGGTCTAAAACCAGGACTAAACCAGGACTAAACCAGGTCTAAACTAGATCTAAACCAGGTCTAAAACCAGGTCTAAAACCAGGACTAAACCAGGACTAAACCAGGACTAAAACCAGGTCTAAACCAGGTCTGAACTAGATCTAAACCAGGACTAAAACCAGGCCTAAACTAGATCTAAACTAGGTCTAAACCAGGTCTAAACCAGGTCTAAAAACAGGACTAAACAAGGACTAAAACAGGACTAAACCATGCTGCATGGACGTGTCTCCTCCTCTTTTATCAATAATATTTTTAATACGGTTCAGTAAAATCTGGACTTTTCATTTTCTTTTAGCAAACAAAACATCTTATGTTACAATATCCTGGTCTTTGCTTCTCTACAGCAAATCAAGTAATCCAAAGTATTCAGATTATGTTACTCACCTTAAATAATTTAATGGATTACATTATAGACTACATTTTGGTGTGTGTAATCTGTAATCTGTAGGGGAATACATTTTAAAAGTCACCTTCCCAACACTGGTCCCAGGTGTGTGAAAGGAGGAACACTCTGTCATCACGGTTAACGCTGTCTGTGTCTCGTTTCCTGATTTCTTTGACCTCCCTGATCCAGCATTTGAACTTGCTGTTTTCCGATCCAATGACCCGATCCCCGTCCCGCTCCATCATGTGGTTATTTCTTTTACGGTGCTCAGATATGGTAGGTTTTAGGTTTTCCTGCTCTGTGTAACCCGCATCTGAGTCACTTTTCTTGTTGCGGGTCAATTCCACTTTACCCCGATCGCCCCCACTTCCTTTAAATTGCGGGGTCAAAGTGTCACTTCCTCCTCCTCCGCTCCGCTGTGGCTGTTTCGTGGTCTGGGCGTCGGCAAACAATTCCACTAAACTTTCAAACTACCAATCCTACAACATCCATACTTAGAGCCTCCATTCACATTCACGTAAACGGGCCGTGCGTGGAGAGACGATTAGAGCCCGTAATTTAAAAGTCAGGTTTTTTTCTCCATGGACTGATTCAGCTCCACTTTCACTGCAATCCTCAACTCAACTAAAAAAACACTGATGGCGATCTTACCCCGAACTTGGACTTAAATTAACTTGGATTAAAATACCGATTATATGGACTAGACCCAATACGCGCAGTAACTGGACTGGTTTTTATTTTGTATTTTGTTGTTGTTGTGTTCTGTAAAACTATTTTCAATATACTCCACCCAAAACTTTACATTTCTGTCTCTTCATTCACCCTCAGTCTCCTAAAAGAACCAATCTTTTGATGCAGCTTTTGTGGTCGTAGTCTGCCCCTAGTCCTAACAATTTGCGTTACATCTGCTTTGTCTTTTTGTGTTCTGGTGATTCTTCCTGATGTTTCCGTTTCACATTCCTTTTGGCGTTCCTTCACCCGTTTCCCCTATGTATGATTTATTGCCTGATTTGCACTGGATTTCGTATGTGGTGTTACATTTGTGTGCTTGTGGGATTTTATCTTTGGGGTGTATTAGCTGTTGGCGGAGTTTTGTGAATGGTTTGACTTCCGTGTCTGTGGCTGTCTGGATGGGTTCAGTTATTCCTCTAATGTGCAGTAGTGTGACTGTGTTCTTACTGCCTTCTATTGGTTTGTTGTGTTTTTTTCCAGGGTTTGTTGGTTTTATTGATGACTCGTTGTCTGCATTTGTTTATGGCCCAGCTGGGATACTGACATTGTTTGAGTGGTTGTATGATATATGTCTCCTCGTCTTCCCTGTCAGCGTAGTCTGTGATGAGTGTGGCCCGTTAGAATAGTGTCCTTACTACTCAAAGTTTGTGCAGTGGGATGTTCGGATTACTTGGTGTGTGGGTTTCCTGTACGCTGTGACTTGCAGTTAGCAGCCGAAACATGTCAACAAGGTAAATACACTTTACTCTATTGTCTTTAAAAAAACAAGACGTAGAGAAGAAGACAAAATGAACATCTTTGGCTTAATGTTATTAGCCTGGCTGGCACCACCTAGTGCCTCCACTCAATTTCATTTCTCTCCAGCGACCAGGTCAGGAATCAGAAAACACAAGACGGTTTTCAAGAACCCCGGAAGCTGAAGAAGAGTTGTGAAGCCATGATGTCAAACTCAAGCGAACTGTCTGGGTCTCTTTTATGGTGCAGCACAACGGTAAACAAAGTGGTTGAGATGGATGTAGATTAAGACATACATTCTGTGTTGGCAACGATTCCCGAGATCGAGGATTTAAAGCCAGAACAAAGAGAATGCTCGGTGAATTTGATCAAGGTTCACGTTCTTGTCCTTCTTCCTACGGGATTTAGGAAAAGTTGAATATACCAGTTAGCCCCGTTAGCGGCGCATTACATACATCATGACCAAATAGCAGTGATTGGTTAAATAAAAAAAGTACCTGCCTACTGCGCCTAATGCTGCGAGGTCAGATGAATCAGGTTATAATGTTATAGCTTTGCCTGGAGTGTTCCACGGTCTGGCATTAAACTTATCTATCTCCACTGAGTTAAAGGTCAGATCTGTGGAGAGGCAAACCCACTCACTGTAAGAATGGGGCACTATTATCTGATCTGTTATGTTTCTTCAGTAAAAGCTTAGCTGGAGTTTTGTTTTGTTTCATTCACACATATTGACCACACAAATCATGCATATTTAGTTCTTCTCTCAAACTGAAAACGCTCTGTTCCACTCTGTGATGTCATTTAGTAAGACCAGAAGTGCTCCACTGTGTCCTTAAACTCCATACACCTTCACCAGAATCATTTGGATGATTCAGCCCTGAAATTGCCTCTCTCTACTGAGCAAAAGGTAAAAGGAGCTGTTAACTTCAAAACTGCCATTTCATAACAAAACATCCCAAGGTGGAAGAGAACATTTTGATCTTTTGGAGATGTAGACAGACTAATAACGCAGAATTATTCAAACATGTGCGAATGAAACAAAACAACTCCAGACATGTTTTGACGCTGTAACAACATTTTAACAAGGCTTAAAGCTCAAAGAATCCATTTTGTGTATTGCAGGACCTCTCAAATATGCCTATACACTCTCCTCTGTCTCTCCTTGTACAAAATGATTGCTTGCAGTTTTGTGTTGACTTTGCTGCTATCTGTACTATCTGTTTATTTGTACCTCTCAAGGACGCAGTGGTCAAACGGATGCTCTTCTACCCTGTCCTCCAACTCTCACACAGCTCCATCTCTACACTGTAAGGAAGAAAAGAATGGACTGTGCATTTTAATTGGAACGCATCTGTCGTGAGATCTCTGATTGGGATCTCATAGAAAATAATTGAATACATTTACAGTGCATAGGGCTTAATGAGTAGAGGATTAGATTAGATTGTATGTGGCGTATGGAAATATGTGAGATGAAGGGAGACTGCAGATCTAGTATTACAAGCACTTAAAGGTCCTATATTATGGTAAATTGAGTCTTAGTGAGTTTTAAAACATGTTTGAAAAATATGGTAAGTAACATTCTGACTATAAGGTGCACTTAAAATATCAAAAATCGACAGTGCGCCTTATGTATTAATTCTGGTTGTGCTTACTAACCTCAAACTGATTTTATGTGGTACACAGAGCTCAAAAATCTGTCAAAATGTTTTAGTACGGCTTTGGTAAACTATGTAGCTGCACCGCTTGATGGATTGTCGGAGCATTACTGCTACCGTAGTCAGCAGCCCCATGGAGTAAGTTTGATATAAACTGACCGCATCAGTGCACAAGGAATGAGCTGTTTTTTCAGTGCTTTTAGTTTATGCAAATTAGCCATGTGGTTTTAAATTTTGTTTCTGTAAAACGTAAACAAATGTGCACAAAGCTGCATCAAACACATAATTGTACACTCGGTGTATATTTGAATCCTCCTTGTAGGAAATAAAAATCCAAAATAAAATAAAATAAAATTATCCTCCCACATTCACATTCATAATACACATTCACCAAAACAGGGAGGCAACGCCGGGTGAATTACGTTACGATCTACCAATGGATCGTGAATGTCTGGGCTAACGGATCAGTCTCAAGTGTCGTCCATTTGTTTCACTTAATGTGCCTTATTTATGAAAATAGACGAGAGAATGTACATTCAACATTATTGATATTGTGCCTTATAGTCTGAAAAATATGGTAATCAAAAACATACCTGGAGTTGTGTTTCCAAAGCTCAAAATGCTCTGTCCTTCTTATGATATTAGTGGTAGTTTTCAAGTTAACAACTCCTTTTAGCTGAAATTATCTAAATGATTCTAGTGAAGGTGTATGGAGTTGAATAAAACTGTACCCAGCAACTTATCTTTGGAACCTTATTTCTGTGAGGCAAAAGTGCCACTCAGCCACTGTGCCGCCAACGTCTACTATTTTAACTGTTTTAAATGCAACTAACAGTACTACAGTTTTGTGCAGCAGAATGAATTGTGTTATTTCTGAGTTCAGAAACTCACCAGAATCCATCTTGAATCGCTCATGCTGCTGCGTGTGGATGTGAGCCACAGATGGGTCTGACCCAGTCCACCAATCACACTGTGGTTGAGCACTCAAACGAACTAAAACACCAACACTAGTGTGTAGTGTAGACTGTGTAGTTTGGCTTCATTTTAGTAGAAATGTTTTTGAAAACAGAGCACAGGAGAGTGCATCTGGATGGGACAGATGTCTGCTGTCCCACTGCTGTTGTCATGCTTCATTCTGTCATTTTAAACTGACTCAAGTTCCACCGTCTCCGGTCCCAAATTTCTTATGTAATCACCTCGGCTCCGTGCTGTGTGGGTTCTGTGTTGTATTCACTTCCTGCTGTTTGTGTGTATGCAGATGATCCAGACCAGCAGGACCCTGATAGAGTCTGCAGACCTGGTCTACTCCAAACTCACACAAGCACAACGCGCAGGTGAGTGCACACTCTATTTCCATTATAATCTTATGGCTGCTGATGGCTGCTGTGGCATTGTTTATTTGCAAACACGAGCTAGTTTAAATAAATCCAACGTACAGCCCTATTTAGTGACTAATAAGGCATTGGCTCTGCTTCTGTAAACAACATTCAGAGTCCATGAACAATAATTGAATCACTGGAGTGTATTTCCTAATGAGACTCAACTATCAAACACTTGTAATCATCGGGAAATTGACCAAACGCCACATCCTCTCGGCCTGAACGTCAAAAAGAGCCTGCTCCCACTAACTCTGGTCTAATGGCAGCAGCACCGGCTCCTGTCAATAGTGTGAGCTGTGGTCTGTGAGAAGACTGCTAACAAAGGAACGGTTTGAAATAGATGGCTCATACTGAGATGTAGGTGACCATTCAATTCAACTGGGATCTGACCTCTGACATTTTCCATTTTGGAGAGTTGTTACATGGGAATTGTGAGTGGGGCGGGGAAAGGGGGTAGGTGAAAACATTTTCTAAGCAGTTTCAAAAAGCAGGATAATACAGGCTAAAACATGAATTAGAAAACAACTCAGCAACAACAACAGCTCTATGCTGCACACATCTGCCCCTCCCACCCTCACATCTGCCCCTCCCACCCTCACATCTGCCCCTCCCACCCTCACATCTGCCCCTCCCACCCTCACATCTGCCCCTCCCACCCTCTTCTCCTCACATTGAAGTGTGAACTAGAGCTGCAACTAATTGTTTCAGTTTCAGGAGACTAATTTTGAATTTTGAATTTATTTGTTTGGAGGATAAGCCCCTTGAGAGGTCTTGCCATCTCGTTTTTGAGGGCGTCCTCATAGTTACAATAACAAAAGACAGATACAGTAAGGCAGACAGTAGGCTACATACATTTAAATAAACCTCAAAACATCTTAAATTAAGTTAAATTAACACAACCACACATACATACACTCACGCTTGACTGTTAGACACATAATAAATCAAATTTGAACAAAAAAGTAAGACAGTGTTCAAATATCGTCACAAAATACAACAAAATGATCAAAAACTATTACACGGGATATGTAAATATTGAACCAGAGTATTTTTAAATGTAGGGACAGAAGTTAATGTGCGAATCGATAAGGGAAGATTATTCCTATCAGTTGACAAATATTTTCTCAGATGAATAACATATGGCTCTGTGCACAATATAGAGTGAGCAGACGTCCCCATTTACCTGGAATAGTCCCAGTTTTGAGTCCTATGTCCCCTGTCCCAGCAGTGTTATCCAAACCCATTGATTTGTCCCAGTTTTATACAAGAAATGCCCCATGTGTCCCTATTTTTCACCAATCTGATCCCCGTCAACAGTAAAGAAAAGCATATATTTACATTTGTTTAGGTAAAATACAGAAAATCTGCTTAAAAATGACCAAAACACAAAGAAAATGTGATTATACTGACTCAGATGTTGGTCATGAATGGGCCAAATGCATAACAATTTTCCTTAATTACACACTCATTTCACAATTTTATTATTACCAACCACCATAAACCGGGGGTGTCCCAGTTTTTGACTTGAAAATCCGGTCACCCTAACACAACAGCGCACTGTGTGTCAGAGCTAACAGTCACTGTTATTAAAATGATAATATAGAAAATAAACAACCTATTAGTCTTTACTTCGTATAATTAATTAAAAGTTTATTATATTGTTTTTAAATGTAGTTGAATTCAGTTTATGTGTTTTAATATTTATTATGTCTCAAAATTAGCATTAGCGTTAGCATTGAGACACAAACACAAACCCCGCTGATGTATTCATGTTATTTGTGTACTTTTTAACATGTCAGTCACATCCACCCACAACTCGCTGTCCAATGGTGTATTTTTAAATATTCATTCATATTAGCATGACTCAGCAAAAAACCCACAGATAAACAAGTAGTAGTAGTAGTAGTGACGCTAGGCTCTTGTAGTAGGCTTACACTGAGTAAAAAAATGTTTTAATAAATGAAGGTTGAAATAAAACCTGAAATAAAGTTGCTGTAAATGTTTTTAAAGATCTTTTGGCATGTATTTTAGAGTTTATACAGTTCAGTTAACAGTTAATTAATTAATAATTTGGGCCAATTCACCTGGAAGCCTGAGGGCCAAGAAAAATTTGTCTGAGGGCCACATTTGGCTCACGGGCCATAGTTTGGACATGCCTGATTTATACTGTTACTGATGTAAATAATGGTAAATAATGACTGAAATACGCTGACTGACTTGGCATGTGTATAGTCCAGTAACACATACAATTATCAGAATACAATTACAAATATTTTAGTATCAACTTTTCACGTTATTTTTCGATTAATCGTTGCAGCCCTCTTATGAAATCTCACCAGGAGACAGCTTTGGTTACCTCTTAAGACGAACATTAAGATTCTTGTTGTTCTAAATTGTGATAACATCAAATTTGTGAGGTGTGAAAATCACTTTGGGGACCACAAATTGCAAAACAAGCCAAACACCTGTATTACATTTCAAACAGCCTTTGAAAATCTTTGTATTTCCATGTTTTATCCTGCAGTGCTTAGTGGGCTGTTTATTATTCTGAAGGTTACTGAAAATTATGGTGAAATAGATATGAGAAACATGAATTGTAATCTACCTGTTCGCTTATTTACCTTATTCTGGAAGTTTCCGTGGGTACTGTCATCGTCATTGAACTGCAAATTCGATTTATACAGACAGCGTTAAAGCCCCCAGAGAATCAGCGCAGTGTTGACGTGTTGTTGTACGTAATAAGTGAACATTTTACACAAATCAGTCTGCTTTATTTCATATTTTTGCGGCAAAACTTTTCTCAAATTCTCCGTTGAAGTGGACGAATAAGGTCAGTGGACTCAGGCTGGCAGAGATGTCCGAGGGAAGAGTAAAAATCCGATAAGTAGAGTAATCAGATAACCCAATAATTAGATCTGATTTTGTTTGTGTGTGTGTGTTCGTCAAAAACACCTAGTGACGTGTGTCAGTTAATCAATACATTTTTAGACTAACTGTTGGATTTGGAAGTTGCTTTTCTCTTGCTTTCCTTCTCTCTCTCCCTTCTACACCTCAACCTTTCTTTCCCTCTACCTGCCCCCATTTTCTTTCTTTTTTCTCTCAGCCTTCCCTCCTCTTTCATTTTCTCTTGACTCTTTTCTCTCTCTTCTCCATTACTTTCTCTCACCCTTCTCCCCTCTTTCATTTTCTCTCGTCTATTACACTATGTCTCTCCCTTTTCTTTCTTTTCTCCCTTACTCTCTCTCATCCTTCTCTCTTCTTTCATTTCTTGACTCTTTTCTCTCTCTTCTCCCTTACTCTTTCTCTCATCCTTCTCTCCTCTTTCATTTTCTCTCATCTGTTATGTCTCTACCTTTTCTTTCTTCTCCATTACTCTTTCTCTCATCCTTCTCTCCTCTCATTTTCTCTTGACTCTTTTCTCTCTCTTCTCCCTTACTCTTTCTCTCATCCTTTTCTCCTCTTTCATTTTCTCTTGACTCTTTTCTCTCTCTTCTCCCTTACTCTTTCTCTCATCCTTCTCTCTTCTCTTTCATTCTCTCTCATCTGTTATGTCTCTACCTTTTCTCTCTCTTCTCCATTACTCTTTCTCTCATCCTTCTCTCTTCTCTTTCATTTTCTCTCATCTGTTATGTCTCTCCTTTTCTCTCTTTTCTCCCTTACTCTTTCTCTCATCCTTCTCTCCTCTTTCATTTCTCTTGACTCTTTTCTCTCTCTTCTCCCTTACTCTCTCTCATCCTTCTTTCCTCTTTCATTTTCGCTTGACTCTTTTCTCTCTTCTCCCTTACTCTTTCTCTCATCCTTTTCTCCTCTTTCATTTTCTCTCGTCTATTATGTCTTTCTTTTCTCTGTTACTCTTTCTCTTATCATTCTCTTCTTTCATTTTCTCTTGACTCTTTTCTCTCTCTTCTCCCTTACTCTTTCTCTCATCCTTCTCTCCTCTCTTTCATTTTTGCTTGACTCTTTTCTCTCCCTTCTCCCTTACTCTTTCTCTCATCCTTTCTCTCCTCTTTCATTTTCTCTCGTCTATTATGTCTTTCTTTTCTCTGTTACTCTTTTTCTTATCATTCTCTCCCTTCATTTTCTCTTGACTCTTTTCTCTCTCTTCTCCCTTACTCTTTCTCTCATCCTTCTCTCCTCTCTCTTTCGTTTTCTCTCTGTTATGTCTCTCCCTTTTCTCTCCCTTGCTCTTTCTCTCTACCTCCTCCCTCTCCTATTCTTACCGTATTCCCCCCACTCGTTTCTCCTCTCTTTCTCCTCTATCTTCTCCCTTCTCTTTCTCTCATCTTACAAAAATCTGATTGTCAAAAACTCCTAGTCGTGTGTCAGTTCACCAGTACATTTTTTAGATGAACTGTTGTGTTTGAAGACAAAGTACAATGCATTTTAAAATAACTCTTTCAATCTTTCACATTTTCTCTTTCATTTTTTGTTTTTGCCGCATTAGTTTGCATATTTCTCCTTGTCAAACGAGAGAAATCAGATTACTCGCATCAGACACGCTCAAAATCTGATTAATATCACATTTTGAAGTTATTACATAATTTAAATTACTTGTAAAAAGCCAAAACATCACATTTCTTTCTGATAACGGCCCCATTTTTGGAGTTTATATTTCATTTTAAGTCATTTCAAATCTCCAGTAATCAGATTCTAATCAGATTTCGGTATGCAAACATAGCCAGTGTTACACCTGAGGCTTCATATACATATTTTAATTCAATATTGTATTACAAGTCTGTCTCAGGCGTGTAAAACCTCTCTAAAGTCGATAGAAACATTGTAAAAACGAGCGCTAAAAATCCATGATAAAAAGCCTCGCCTGCACCACTTGTTAAATTTTGATAACGTGCTCACAAAGTTTAATCAACTCTTAATCTTTTTTAAAATCATTCGTAATTCAGCTGCTCCTCGATTGAGAAAGTTTGCGTGCTCAGTTCAGAGAAGACCTGCCGAGC